TCAGAAAGCACGTTATTCAGGTGCATCCCATTATGGATGGGATCGCTACCTGATTTTCAAAGTCAGAAAGACTGTTGGCAAACTGCCATCCCGAGTGTAAAACTACTGCGGCTCCGCCAAAATGATAATTCGAAGGTGCAGAGAACCAACGTGTTAACCAAATGCCCCAAGGAAGGAGCGATCTGAACCGTCCTTTTGTGCATTGTTGAGAAACTTAGTCCCCCCACGCAAGCTATCTTTGGGAGATTCAGCATGTGAAGTGGTAAGAGTCCGTAATTGATATCGGAGAGCCGGAATACCCGAGCGAGTGTGGCCTATCTGCAATGAAAAATGCGACCGGATGTCGACTTAACAACACTCCTTAAACATTTTAACGTTGGTCTTACAGAATAAAGCGTTCTCTTGTGGGCATGTAAGAATGACAGTAACAAAGGTTGAAAATATCCGTTAATTTACCGTCTCAATTAACGATTTTTATTATTGCCATACCAGAACCCCATCACGGATAGCCAGACACAACCTTTTACGCAGAGAAGGCCCTGGTTCAAGGTAAGCGCAATTTTTGCGTCCCTCCAATAGGCCACGTCGTGCTACAACGTCGAGACACAAGGATAGCTCACTAACTTACCCCTCCTCTTCTCCTTCATCAAGCTACCAACAGGGTCGAGATAGCTGGACGTCCTCAGCCCTCCTTCCAGTAACTAGTGTTACTCGACTGTTTTAATTTTCGCTGCATTTTTTTCTGACTCATATTACTGTATGGGCTAAGCATGAATAATTGAAAACGCATGTTCGTTGAACCCGACGTTTCCAATGTCTTCATGGGTGGCGTCCGTTATTTGGTTACTTTAGCTTAGAGAGATTAGACATTTTGTGAATTCTTGATGCGAGCAAGGATTGTAGTGTTAGTAAAGAAATCAGGGGGTCTGCTGCACAATCTAAACTGGCTTAAAGTCCATATGCGTATTTAGAAATTTGTGTAATTAAGCTGAAGGAGAATACACATTATGACAATCACGGGTTTCCATATTGAGAATATACTACTGACATTCTCCTATAAGTATAGATAAGATGCGAGGTGATGGGATTTGCGAAAGTGAGACTCCATTGACAAGTCAGTTAGCTTCTGCAAGGCCTGCCCTTCAGTGTCACTGGTGGCCCTTTCCATAGGGAACACCTGCAAAATAGAATGAATAAAATTCAAAAACGTGACGCATTTTAACGACAAGGGAACATTGAAAGGAGTCCTGCTACTTCGACGACTTTGCGGCATAGGTCACCGATCGCACCTAAAACAACATTTTTGGCCGAAAAAGGTCATCTAGATATAATGCTGGTCCACACCAGCAGGTCAAATGTCGGCAGAAAGAGACGTGGGGATGGACTGTTGGTTTAACCTTGCCTAGTTGAATTAACGATATTACCGGTTCAATCAAAAGCTCCTATCCAAAATTAATTTCACACAAAAAACCGTTTTGGAAACAAAATGTAAACTCAAGATAGACAATGCTGTTCATAGATATTTTGGCAGATTTGAATAATCCATATTCACCCAACTGTTAAAAACTTGGCGCCTCGGTGGGATTCGAACCCACGCAGCAAGAGTAAGGTTTAATACAGTCAACTCTCTAAGGACTTGAGCTACGAGGCCCCGACGGACGACGCGAGATTTTGACCAAAATGTGATTTAACTCGCGTCGTCCGGCGGGGCCTCGTAGCTCAATTCTTTAGAGAGTTGGCTATATTAAACCTTACTCTTGCTGCGTGGGTTCGAATCCTACCGAGTCGCAGAGTTTTTCACAGTTGAGTCAAAATGAGGAAATCACTGTCGTTATCTTGTCCAATCCTGATAACAATTGATATTTTCCGAAATTTCTAAAATTCAGCAAATAAAGGCTCTTCAATAGGACATTGGGTTGTCTGGAGGCGGACAAACTAAAACCTCACTTAAGCAACAAAAATTATAACTACTGCAATGCTTTTGAAGTATGATTTACCAGATTTATCTATAAAATGTTGTTGCTACTGGTATGCCTCTTTGTAAAGATATTCAACAGTTTCGACTAATTACAGTGGTGCGAAATGTAAGGGATATCATGAATATCACCTCCAATAGTGTAGAAGAAGCAGCAAATTCAGAAGTAAATAACTGCAGAACCGCATGTTCATGGTCCACAGACCCAAATATTTTTGGAAAATATCTGGGACAGCGTTAGACTTCAAAAACCCCCGACAGTCGAAGAAGTCGAAAATTGCTATTCTGAAGGATGAGTAGGCAATGAGAACTTGCTGATGTGCATTTAACGGTGGATCGATGGGACGAATCATCACTGTAGGCGATGTGTACTGACCGAAGCGTAGGCTATATATGACATAGTTCACAACGACACAGCAGGTTTGCATAAAACTGTGCGAGCGTCTCGCATGTCGCGGGGGTGTGAACCCCCTAAGGGGCATATTAAGGAAGAGCCATTTAGCTTGACTCATAGTCCACTAGGCAGTCTCTAAGTAAAATCACAGTCAAGACCCAGTGATTTGTGTCTCCAGTTGTCATAGTTCAAATCCTCGATGCCTAATGTGTTGTGGAGGATTCGAACGCGTCAGATTTATGAATGCGGGTAATATGCACGGAAGTGTTGTGGAAGTGTGATCCTTGGAGTCGGGCTTACTCTCTGCTTCTCCTCTGGCCAATCAGCTGATGCCGGGAGTGACTGCGGTGTCTGACAGAGCCAAAGCAGCCCACCTGCGACCTGGTCCCGAACAACTTGCCGGGTTTGCTCAAAAAGTGCTGGGCGACTCGAATCTCGCATGCCTTGGAGTGACCTAGAGACTGCATAGAGAAGGATTCGAAGAACATGCTTCCCTATTTACGTGAAACGTGCCTGTTTCGTGCCTTTGGTGGATGATGTGAGAGAGGTCCACTTGTGCTGTGTGGGCCGGTGAGAAAAGGCGTGGGCATGGACTTTGGTCTGCGGCGGCTCACCACGGATTTGCATGGAGGCGCATATAACCTATCTCGCCCGTGCGGCGGCTAACTATCCGTTATCAGTTCGGACATTTAACACGAAGTCAATGGATGTGTTTTCGCGCTTCTAATACGGGTTCTCCAGTCGTAATGTATTGGATTCGAATCAATTCTGCCAGGCTGATGCGCTACTTGCATGTACATTGGTTATAAGGACAGTATAATTTGGGAGCTGGTGAGTTGGTCACGGTGATGAAACCGCGAATTGCCACCGCGGATGAATGGGGAGATGGTAATGATTAAGATGAGAGAGTTGTTGCATTTGAAACGTGGGCTTGGTGTGTCGATATTCGATGAATTCTGCTGTGGCTGTTGCGCGTGTGACTGAGTAGGCCCGTGTTTGATGCCTTTCACTATCAGATCAGCTCAGCCCAGTATGGTTTCTGCGAAAAGAGGTCTTGTCTTACAAATCTCCTTAAATGGCTTGAACGGTTGCCAAAGGCAGCGGACGAAAGACATCTAGTAGATGTCCCTTAATTTCACTCTAGAAAGGCCTTCGATTGCATTCCAAAAAAGCGCCTTGCTGAAATGATGCCAGACTTAGCGATTGGCCGTGGCCAGTTGAACTGGATTTAATAGTCAGTAACTTGTCCTAAACAAAAGGTTACTGCGGGTGGTTACTATTCACACTGGACGTCTGTTAAAAGTGGAGTCCCATAGGAATCAGTTATAAGGCTTCTCAAATTTTATTATCCATGTAGATGACCTGGTGCAGAAAGTCTGGCACAGCTGTATAGGGTGATAGAACATGAGAGAATCTCCCAAGGTATTTCAACAGGATATAGAGAAGCCGCAGAAATGGAGAGAACCTGTTGCATGAAATGTAATGTTGGGAAATCTTTGTTACTGCATATAATGTCTGCGAGACCAAAAGGAGATATGTCTTCCTGACGGTATGCCTAGAAAAATGAATCATTTAAAATAGTAAATATGCAAAAGTCCCCGTAGTATTCGTTAAATACGATTAAAGCGTAACGGGTCATTGTTTGAAATTCTCAATGCGGTCGACGTCAACATCGAAGTCAATGCGCAGGATGCATATAAAAATTGATTTAGATATATGCGATAGGATATGCGGAGTAATTGTGCGTCTAAAGCTGAATATGCGGTACATGCTTGGCGACCGTGGCTGCGGACAGGCACAGATGTTCTCGGAGGCATACAACGACGTGCTACAAAGCATATTCCTGAACTCAAGCATTTTATGTGTGAACAGCGCATGACCACCTTAAATCCCTGTTCTATCCACTACATACAAGACAGAGGTGACCTTATGTTAACGTTCCAGGTAATACGGGGATTTGCTCTTCATGTGAACTGAAAAAATCACTTCAAATTAGCACCAAGGACGAATATTCGACGTCGTATTTGTTAGCTTAAAAAGGGAGCATGTCGCGCTAGGACAGGTTCCTTCCTTTCCAAACAACGAGGGAACTATTTTAACGACTTATGTCGTGCATTTCACCAATGTGAGTGTGTTTAATAGGCGTCTGGGTACTCGCCTGTTAAATGTCAGCCAGAATTCCCCAAATCTCATGCGATAAGCCAGTTATGGTTATCAACACGGTACTATCTTTATTTCAGTAGGCCATTTTGATTACATCTACTTGAACACTGTTGAGCATACTGCGCGCATAGCGGATAATATGTTGTTCGCTGATGTTCAAAAAATTCTCCAGCTTTTTAACACCCCTTGTTCACTATCAGTTGCATGCATTTTTCAGACTGAAATTTCCTGCAAATATTTGAAATTTAACTGCTCATCATGCAGACTTGTATTTTTAATGGGGCTTTGTCAGATTTTGCCATTTACTCCAAACACACTGATTCAATTCGGTTTGAGTGTGTAGAGAGTGTGGACAGTTGGGGTGGGTGGGGCAAGCATATAAAGGGATTCCTAACATTTGTTCGAAGTCTCTGTACGATTGGTTCGCAAATGCCCGACCAGGCCGATGCGCGGGATGAAGGTACAATTTCAACAAGAACAGGTTGGGATCAAGTCCACATTACTGGCGGTGGGTGACCGGGCCTCGAGAGTGCTCTCGTCAGTGGTTGGAGCAGGAGAGGTGGTGGTCTTTTCCATCGTCGCGGAGGCGATGGAGTTGGCGGTGCTGGACGGCGGCGGCATCGGCGACGGAGCATCAGGATTGTGATCACCAGTGGTGGTGGTGGTCGCCGTCGTTTTCTGCGGGGGTGACGGTGGACGCGTAAACAAGAACTGTTTAATCCAGCAAAATGAAATTGCGGCCATCCATTTACTAAGTCTTGATTTACTTTTCCGTCTAAAACGCAGACCATCGGGGCAAGCCACCTTGAAAGGCAGGCGAACTCAGACTAATTTTTCCACAGCGGTGGACAAAATCATACAAGTAATCAGTCCTACGAGGCAAAATTGCAGTAGGCAAATCCTTGGTATCGATCCCCGCTGTTGATTTTCCCAACGTGCAACCAACGCCTTGTATATCATGACAACTTCAACTGTTCTGCCTGTAACTGTTAACGAGATGGCCTTGACCGAAAATTGGCAGATGGATTGCTGCCGGCCTTTTCCTGATAGTTGGCGGCCACTTGCTCAGATAGAGATAGAATTATTTCTTTTCGGGATCTTTAAGCGTGCTGAGACAAGGAAGGAGGAAATAAGAGGTAACAGGCTCCTGAAAAACGCAATGTCATGCTGTAAATCGGGCTCAGAGACTTATTTAGAAGTTTACATTGTTGACTCACCACCCCGAGTCTCTATACAGCCACTTCTACAGATCTGAACAGCTGTACGAGAGGTTAACGAAATCCCTGGACTCGACAATTTTCAACCGTTGAGCGTTCGTTCTGGCTATGCAAGCTGCCTACTGCGACTGAGCCACTACGTTAAACGGAACTTCATGAGGAATAGAGCGAAGGGGATGTACTTGTCGGTTTAACAGAGAGGTGGCCAAAATACTGACTCTGTCGGATTTTCATCCTGTGGAATCCAGTTCATTGTCGCGCGTGAGGTCGACAGACTAGAATGTATGCGACTGACGATGTGTGACTTTCGAGATTAACGTGCAAGAACTTAGCCTGTCTGAATCATAGATTATCGGCTTTACATTGAAGACCCTGTCTCATGTTTTTACGGGTTTCTGCACTCAGGCATGCCATAATTGAGAATTTTGCCCTGCCAAGAGTAGAGAAGTAAATTGCCACTGCGCGCGTATTTGAGATCTTTGTGCAGTCACACCTAAATTTAAGGCTTTTAAAAATTTCTGAATATGAAAAATAGTTTTTTTCCCGCCCGATTACTCATTCAAATGGTTTAATTCTGACTAGTGCCGACATCAAACATCAGATATTACCGACTCAGAGTTTAAGCTCGGCTGACAGCTGCCGTTCACCAACTCCCGTGTGAATAATTTCTTTCAAAGAAGTCCTTTTAATGACACCTTGAAAAAGTTGTATTTCAGGAAAACAAGCACTTGACACATGATGCGATGCAAATGTTTAATTCAGGTGTAATTATTGCTCGACCAAGGCTTGACGTAGGAGACCCCAGTTCCTAAAGGACATTGAGAATTGAATGACAAAATAATAATTACAATTTAAATGAACACGCAGATTGAGGAGACTACTCCGAGCTTACTCCCTGATTTCTTTATGTTAAAGCAAAGACTTTCCGATTGAACGAAGAAGGAAGTGTTTACTGTTAGATAGTTCATGTTCATTGGATTTAAAGCGTGTTCGTTGCTTCCCCACGGACTTCACTTTGTTATCGCTCACTGGATTTGCACTGTTTCCTGTTCTGTGATAATGGGCATATCTGAGCTGGCTCAACCAACAGGCAGGGCCGCCAAAAACCAAACCAGGGAATGAATAGCGGCGGTCAGCTCTACTATATCGGCCGGCGGAACGCGTCTCCTTGTCGTGAGGACCTGTAATTCCGGTAGGCTGTTAGATAGAAAACAATGCCTTAAGTAGAATCCGAACTTCCTAAATCCCTTATTGTTTGACCCCAATAGTTGACCAGAAGAGTATTTTATTGCTGATGTAACAGGAGAACAGTGAGTAGTTTTTGGGACACTTTCAAGGTATGCTCAGAAACTACTTAAATCCTGGTCACTTTTATGTTTCCCAACTTGAGCTTTGTTGATTACCCAAATTTCGTCGGGGGCATGGTGGTAACATGCAATCAGTGGTGATACTTAACCACCTATCATATGCCTACAGGTGGAACACAATAAAAAAACCCCGGTATCGCTTATGGGAGGAAATACAACTAGTCTCATCTAACACGAATTAACGTTAATAAGGCAAACCTTACATCTTCGTGCTCTTTCAAACTTCAGTCATGGCCGGGTGTGATTGTATTCGCAATCAGTACATTTTTACTCAATTACAGAATGAATTTGCTAAACAATATATAAAAAACGTTTGCCGAAAAAAATTTCATTCTAGGAGATTACATGATGGATGTCGGATTACGCCAACGACCTCAGATCTGTTGGACAACATTGAGAAATATCTGGTATGAAGGTCAGCTTTGTTTTAACTCTTTTGCAATATCTGGCTCATTAAAAACGTTTAAATATCGAACGAATGATAAAAAAAGGACACCAAGTCTCATTTCTGTATGGAATCAAAACATTTTCGTACTTTACTCGATATAAACAGGTTTCAGTCGTTTCTCATCGACCACAGCACATCAGTTGAGAATACCTACGAATGTGAGCCAAGATGAGGCGAGTTGTGAGCTTCTGTTTCGTATGCAATTACACGATAACCTTATGTTCACTAGCTTTTGGCGGCGATAAACTTAAGATCATCAAGATCGTTCTAATTATAGATGAAGTTCTATTACATCGATCGGCTCCGCATCCGACGTGGGTAATGAACAATGCTGCAGTGATTTCCGACGGTGTAGCATCACCCAGTAATAGAGTCACAAGTCCTTAAAGTACGTACGAGTCGTGCCTGAGGTTTTTGGTTGTCTGCATTTCGTTTGTAACCCAATCATAGGCAAAAAGAGTGCAGTATCCTCATATGCAAGTGGTGACCAGTTCGGTCATCATAGCTCCTTCTGTCGACGCATCTTAAGGAGTACATTCACGTCTATTTGACGGTCCTCGGGCTGCACACATGCATTACGACCTTGATCATTACCAGAGACAAAAGCAGATACGGGTGGTTCATGCCCAAGGGGCTGCAGTATTTATAGGATGCAGTCGTCATGCTAGCGCATACCGATGAATATTTACGGCTGACTGTGTGATGGCCGACATTCGCGTACTTAATTGCTGCAATTTCATCACGTGCGTTGAATGTTGAGGTGATAATTGCTCGCCCATCTAATCCACTGACCCTGGCGTCGGGACACTGTTCACCTGTGCGCTTACCGCGTGGCTAATTACTTCGCCTAGGCGGTCTCAGCACTGAGCATGGAAGGGGAATATCATTGCACTTGTTAATGGACTGGGGGCCAGTAATCCATGATTCAAGTAGCTCCCGGTTCACGCGGTTTTCACCTCTTGCGAGAATGTCGACTTCATCGAATCTGAATGTGTGGCCGGATCTCGTCGAATGACCCGCAACTTGAGAGCTGGCGTCACTTTTCCGCACCGCTGCAGCGTGTTCGGCCATTCTCTTTCGGAGATGTCTCCCGGTTTCTCCGTCGTAGTTGCGTTGTCCGCAACTGCACCAGACCCCATAAACGACTCCAGACGTTTCTTGCCGTGGCAGCGGGTCTTTCGGTCTCATCGCTTGACGCCTGATGGTTGCCTTCGGTCTGTGTGCAACTCCAACCCCAAGTGGTGCGAGAAGGCAGCCGACAGCTTTTGAAATGTTCTTCACATACAGAAGCGCTCGCCAAAATCTGGTGTCTGCGTGGTGAGGCCTTTCGTCCCCTTTGCGTATGTACCGGTTGACGGAGGAGAACACACGCTTTCTCACAACATATCGTGTGTCGTCATGTCTCTTAAAGTTCTGCGTGCGACGAATGTTCCAGTTCATCTTCCTTTACGAGGTTAAACGAAGTCGTTAAGGAGCATGCCAGATAGGCGCTGTTAAAATACGGATGGCTGATTGTGCTAAGAAATCATTTTTATACCTACAGTCACCTTGACGTTATCACAAAATGTCGTAGGTTCTAGCGTGAGATTTAATTTGGTCAGTCTTATTTTCTTGTACTTCGGGAAAAGTTAATCATAAAAAATGCTCTCTTACAGAGGGTTGGAGTAACAATGTGAAATGTAACATTTATTGTCCCACCATATTACTTAATTATGTGCAGGTGAGCTGATATATGAGGAAGAAATAAAAATAATTCGACTTCATGTTGAGAGCATGGGGGGACACAGATTAAATTACAGACCACTGACAGCCCTAAAGAGACAGATTCCCAAACACGTATCTAACATAAGCAAAGAGGCTAACATAGTCGAGCTCCAAGCGCGACTGGCAAATAGAGGCAATTGCTCTCAATTAGACTTGCCAGCTGCCAGTGCAGAATCGACAGCATTCACCAGGTGCATGAGGCAAAAAGACTGTTGTAGTACAGCGCCATCGCGTCAGATCTCTCAGTAGTCTGCAAATCGACAAAGTTAGAGACTTTGCATACTTTGAAGCAGACGTCGTCAACTACTTCTAGTACTAAGACAGAGGCTCAACGAGGGAGGCGTCAGGTCTCTCAGTAGTCTGCAGACTGCTGATCAGAGGCATCTGATGAACTCAGTATTACCAGCCAGTAGGTAGACACTATCGTGTACGTGATCACATGCCGTTAACTGGGATGGCCCGACGATGGCCTCCTGTGTTCTGCTCATAAGCCTCCACCTCGCTAGCCCCGGACTGACAGCGGTCACACACTGCACACGGTGGGAGTACAGGCAGATTGCCACGCTGTCAGTATTCTGGGGTTCAGTACTCAGGTGTAGCATGGACAGACGGTTGAGCACAGTGGATTAAGGATCACGCACAGACCAGATGACACAGTCATATGCATTAAGTGTGTTCAGACGCCTCGCATTGAGGGCGTGCTGGCGATGAAAATGGACAGTTCAGGTGGTGGAGGTGAAAAGGGTAGGCTCTTTGTTAAAATGCAGGCGTGTGAATAGATGTCAATTGATAGAAAGAGAGAAAAGGGCAATGAATGGAGTGAGAGTTAGGTATAAGTAGTTGGCTGCATGTTGAGGATTGAATTTGAGTTTTTTTTCAGTCTAAATATTAGGAAAAGGGTCACGCTGAGGAGTTAGACTTAGAGTTGGGGGATAGAGTTAGGGGGTT